ATCCCCACCAGCCCATCCTAAAACAGCCACTTTAGCAAAGAGTACCGACTGTCGGGATTTGTTGGTCATCTTTTCAGCAGTGATGCCCAGAGGAGTTGCTTTGATTCGATCAGGGAAGTGTGGGAGCATACAGAGAAACGAAGGACAGGGGATGCCGCCATATCCCAAGAGGGGAGGATGGAGGAGGAATCGGAGGAGGAGGTGGGGGAGGGGAGGAGGGAGGAGGAAGAGGGGGAGGCGGACGAGGAGGGGAGGACGAGCAGAAGGGCCAGAGGCCTCTTGGATGCATCGCGGAGTCTCTTGGGATGTCTTTTGGGAGCCTCTTGGAGGCCTTTTGGGGCGTCTTGGGGGCCTCTTGGCGGCCCCAGGGGCTTCTAGGAGCGTCTTGGGTGCCTTGGGGGAGCCTCTTCGGGCCTCTTGGGAGCCTCTTGGAGGCCGTTTGGGGCGTCTTGGGGGCCTCTTGGCGGCCCCAGGGGCTTCCAGAAGCGTCTTGGGTGCCTCGGGGGAGCCTCTTGGGGCCTCTTGGGGGCATCTTGGGGGCATCTTGGGGGCCTCTTGGAGGCCTCTTGGGGCCTCTTGGGGCTCTTTGGGAGGGGTCTGGGAGGTATCTTGGGGCCATCTTTCGGGCGATCGATCACAGATGGGGCGAGCATTTTTCTCCCTCCCCCCGTCGGGGCCACGATCCTCGTGAGGGGTGTCGAATTTTAGCCCTCCCAGGAGACGAAAAAGACCCCTCCAACGACCCGCGAAAGGACCTCTCCAGGCCCAGGGGGAGGGGGTAGGGGGAGGGGATTCGCCCTCTGGACTTTTCCTTGCGGGCCGCTGATCAAAAAAGTATCCCGCCTGCCAGTTGACTTGCCGGTGCGCTCCTGCGGGATGCCCGAGGGTCCCAGCATTTTTTGTTGCGCCGCCCCTTTTCCTCTTCTTCCCACTGCTCCCCCTCCCCCTCACCCTGCTCCCCCTCTCAACAATTGCACAATATGAAAATACTCTCCCACTTCCCCTGATGGCGTCCCGAAGATATCCGACACCCCCCCGCGTATTGTTTTTTACACACAGGATTCCCGGGAAACGGGTTTTCGCTTGTGTTTGTTTTCAAAATGCTGCTCTCGCTGAGGCGCCGGCCTCATTTCTGCTCCCGAATCGTTCCGAATCGTGCTCCCGCTGCAGCGTGGGCCTCATTTTCGGATCGGTGTTTGGCCTCCGTCGTTCAGGATGGCGTTCTCGCCCCAGCGCGGGCCTCTTTCTCGCGCGCCCATCCGCCCGCCACCACCGCGCCGCACCACCACCACCACCACCACCACCACCACCACCACCACCACCACCACCACCACCACCACCACCACCACCACCACCACCACCACCACCACCACCACCACCACCACCACCACCACCACCACCACCACCACCACCACCACCACCACCACAACCACAACCACAACCCACGCACACATGCACGCACGCACGCACGCACGCACGCGCACCACCACCCACTACGCACGCGCGCGCGGAGCCACAGTCCGCTACGACACGCGTCCGCGGATAGAGAAAATCAGCGCCATGGTAAGGGATGGGAGGGAGGGGTAGGACGTCAGATATGACGCGAGCGCACCTAGCTTGTCCTACCCCCCCTCCCCCTCCCTCGCCCCCTCCCTCCGTCCTCGAGGGCGGTTAGCTAACCATCGCACACGCGCGCACCAGCGCCGCGGCTCAGCTCGAAGCCCGATCCGTTCCGCCCCTGCGTCGCCGATGGACAGGCGGGGTGGCCTGAGACCTTCCGGCCCCATCTGCCCCAGATTTCAGGGGCCTCCTCCCACAAACAGCGGGGCCCCTCGCCATCCCCCGCTTCCTCCCCAGAGGATCCTCACGGAGACGTCTGAGAGCCCGTGGAGGCCATGGAGTTGACAAAAAGATTCGTCTGTTTCGAGCGATTCCCACCCAGAACGCGAGGCGGGATCCCCAGGGGTCACCTGGGCCCCTTGAGGCCTGGCGGCCGCGGTGTGCAGCCGTCACTCGTCGAAGCCGCGAGGCGGGATACCCAGGGAGTGCCAGGACCACCAGGACCCCTTAGGGCCTGGCGGCCGCGGTGTGCAGAGTGTGCGAGGCGTTGCAGGAGCCTCTTTGCTTCCAGTCTGGCAGCCCCTAACCTGTCGGGTGGGGAAACCCAGGCATCCGGCTGCTCCATTTTTTTCGATACGTGGGCCCCGGAGGTCTGGACCACTTCCCGTCCTGGGTCGTTTTTTCGGGCGTAGCCCGGATCTGTTCCTCGCGAGGTAAATTGAACTGAATTGAATTGACAGGCTGCTCGCACCCATTACGCGACGGTTTGAATCTCGGCCGCCGAGGGCGCAACTTATGGCACAGCCGATAGGAGACGGTTTTATTCTCGGCCGCCGAGGGCGCAACCTATGGCGCAACCGATGGGAGACAGTTTGATTCTCGGCCATCGAGGGCGCAACCTATAGCGCAACTGATAGGCAACGGTTTTATCCTCAGCCGCCGAGGGCGCAACTCATGGCGCAACCGGTAGGAGACTGTTTGATTCTCGGCCGCCGATGGCGCACCTATGGCGCAACCGATAGGGGACGGCTTTATTCTCGGCCGCCGAGGGTACAACCTATGGCGCAACCGATCGGAGCAGGCTTTATTCTCGGCCGCCGAGGGCACAACCTATTACGCAACCGATAGGAGACGATTGTATCCTCAGCCGCCGAGGGCACAACCTATGGCGCAACCGATAGGAGACGGTTTATTCTCGGCCACCGATGGCGCAATTTATGGCGCAACCAACAGGAGACAGTTTTGTTATCAGCCGCCGAGGGCGCAACCTATGGCGCAACCGACAGGAGAGATGTTATCCTCAGCCGCCGAGGGCACAACCTATGGCGCAACCGATAGGAGACGGTTTTATTCTCAGCCGCCGAGGGCGCATCTCATGGCGCAACGCAGGGCGCAACTTATGGCCTCTGTCGCTGACCCCAGAGAAAAACTTTCTGGGTCATGCATCGCGGCGCGCAAGGCACAGGACAAAAATCACGCGCTCCGCGTTGTTCACGCGTTCACGTCACGTCGACAAACCTCTGCCAGGAGAAGGAGGATGAGCAGGAGGAGGAAGAGGAGAAACGAGGACGAGGTCCTATAGGAGGACGACGAGGAGGAGCTGGAGAGGGAGGAAGACGAGGAGGAGGAGGAGGACGAGGAGGAGGGGGAGGAGGAGGACGACGACGACCAGGATGGGGAGCAGGACGGGGAGGAATACGGGTGGTACGAGGACGAAGCGTGGGCATTCGAACGCGCGCGGGGCTGCGCCCGATTTGTGCTCGCCGTTTGGCCTGGCGGAGGGACCCAAGCGGCGAGCTGTCTCGTGATTTCGTGCTCCCGAGGCCCGGCGAGGGCCCGCGGAGGCCGAAAACTCTTGTGTTTCTAGAAGTACCCCTGGCCCAAGGTGCCCCCAGCTTTTCGCACCATTTTGGAGCCCCTGGGGCCCTCTGAGCCTCGTGAAGGGGTGCCCTGGAGGCCGCCTGGGCCATCCCGAGAATCCTGGGGGTACCTTGGGCCAGGGGCACTTCCAGCAACACCCGAAAAACCGCCCCAAACCCCGCCGCTCCATCTTCGTGGGGGCGTCTGATCTCCGGGAGCGCGCCCCTGGCGCTCCTCGCCCCGCTCCGCCTCCTCGGCCCGCTCGGCTGCGCCGCCCCGCGGAGGTCACCGCGGGGGGCGCTCGCCCGCCGCTCTCCCGGCCGGCAGGCTCGCTGCTGGTCGCGCTCCTCCTCCTCCTCCTCCTCCTCCCTCCCCCTCCTCCTCCTCCTCCTCCTCCTCCTCCTCCTCCTCCTCCTCTCCTCCTCTCCTCCTCCCCTCTCCTCCTCCTCCCTCCTCCTCTCCTCCTCCTCCTCCCTCCTCTCCTCTCCTCCTCCTCCTCTCTCCTCCTCCTCCCCCCTCTCCTCCTCCTCCTCCTCCTCCTCCTCCTCCCTCCTCCTCCTCCTCCTCCTCCCCTCCTCCTCCTCCCTCCTCTCCTCCTCCTCATCCTCCTCCTCCCTCCTCCTCCTCCTCCTCCTCCTCCTCCTCCTCCTCCTCCTCCTCCTCTCCTCCTCCTCCTCCTCCTCCTCCTCCTCCTCCTCCTCCTCCTCCTCCTCCTCCTCCTCCTCCCTCCTCCCCCTTCTCCAATAACTGCCCACTCCTCGTCTTCCCCTTCATTATCCCTCCATCTCCTCCCTCCTGCCCCTCCTGCTCCCCCGGCTCCTCCCCTTCCTCTCAATTCAGCGGCAGCGTCAGGGGGGGATGCATCGACCCCCAATCGCCCGTGCACCGCCGCTGAGGGGCCCGATAGCGCACCCCCCGCCCAGGACCGTGTGGAGTCGCCACCGGGGGCCTATTGCCGATCTACCGGGGATGTACCCTCGAGTCCAAGGCGATGCGTCCCCCACTGAGCCGGTCTCCCCCGCAACGGTGTCCCTCATCAATATCCCCATCCCCATCCCCTCCCTCCCTCCCCAATCCTCATCCCGTTTTTTTCTGGCTCCCTCCCTCCCCATCCTCATCCCCATCCCCTCCCTCAAGCCTCATCCCCATCCCCTCCCTCCCTCCCCATCCCCATCCCCTCCCTCCCCAATCCTCATCCCCATCCCCTCCCTCCTCCCTCCCTCATCCCTTTCTCATCAATATCCCCATCCCCATCCCCTCCCCCTTTTTTTTCTGGCTCGCTCCCTCCCTCCCGAGGGGGGCGGCCGGGAGGAGAAGCGACTGCCGCTCCGGAAGTTGCAGTGGCTGGAGCAGTACGTGGGATCGGGTGTCGAGGTGCATCACGAGAAGTGTCTCACCGAGGCGGGGCAGGGAAAGAGCAGGGAGGGGAAGAGCAGGGAGGGAGGGAAGCAGGCAGGAGGGGAAGGGAGGGGATGAAGGTGGACAATGCGGAAGGGGGGGGGGAGAAGGAGCAGGGGCAGGGCAGGAGGGGGGAAGGGGGAGGAGCAGGAGAAGGGAATATCGGCACAGACACAAACCATCGTCGATTCGCAGGACATATCAGAGAACAGGGGAAGTGGAGGGGAAGACGAACACCCAGAAAATATACCAAAACGCGCGGATTCCTAGGATTTGTGTCTATTTGTGCCCCTGGGCGTCTTTGGAGGAGGTGGAGGGGCTTGCTCACCGCCGAGCTCGTGGGAGCTGCCCGAGCAGCGGCTGCATGGCCCACCCATCGGCGGTCGACCTTTCATCCGTGCACTCAAAGTTTTGGCGTTCTTTGGCCTTCGGAGAGGCGAACACACAGTGGGGGCCCATGCCAAGAAGCAGCCTACTTGTCTCCAGGGTGCCCTGGGTTTCTTGGGTTTCGATGGCTTTGCGATGGAAAGCGTGACGTGCCCAAACCAAAAATCAGTGGACGTCCTGGGGTCTCAGGGTTGGGTTTCTTGTGCAAGGTTTCTTGTGGACTGGCCTCCACTGTACCCATGCGACTGCATATCCGTGGTGTGGACTCTGGGGCACTATCCCAGGGATACGCGGTCGCATGGATGCCTCTTGCGCGAGGCATCCGCAAACCAACATCACTCACACATGGGGTCGCGGTCCAGGGGCCTGGCCCGTGAGGCTGTAGATCATCGGCGTGCTTCCCGCCTACGGTTTGTCGTCTCGGAGGGGCTCGGTGTTCCTCGCGGTAGGCTTGCGGCGACCCCTGCGCGGGCGATTGAGATTGAATGGCGTTGGTGCCGCGAATTGGCCGACCTCGGACGAGCCGCGTTGCTGGGAGGCCGCGATCGTTCAAGTTTGAGCGGCATTTTCTTGTCGCGGGCTCGGCGAACGCGCGAGTCGGTCGTAGTAAGTGCCGGGCCACAGCGAAGCGAATGGCGCAGCTTACATGGGAGCCCCATGGGTGGGGAGAGAAGCGACCGCGGAAAGAGAGGGACAGAGGCTGCTGCGCCGTCAGGGCGTGCGGTCCCGGTAATTAGCGGGGTTCTGCAGTTTTGATCGGGGACCCCCAAACGGAGTGGTGACCACACCGTGCAGTGAGTCGGTGGGGATTCGGGGTCACCGCACGGTTTTGGGACTCGGGTCGTTCTCCGAGGATGTCTCGGGCGACAGGGGCCTCCGGGGTCTCAAGACCGTGCGCTGACGGACCGTGCGGTGAGGTCTGGCCGGATTTCGAGGTCGCCGCACGGTCCGTCGCCACACCGTTTCGGGACTCCACGTTTGAGCGACGCGCGCGGTGTCGCAGATAGGGGGCCACATGTGAAACCCACCCCCTTTCCCCACGACTTCTGAGGGGAGGGTGGGGTTCACTTCGCTCGGGAGCTCCCGAACGGAGTGAACCCCACCCTAACCCTCGGAAATCGGGGGGGGTAGGGGTAGGGCTCGCATGTGGCCCCCTAGCAGACCAGCGCCGACGTCGTCACGGCACGAGCCCTGCCAAGGGTCCTGCCAAGGGCCTCCCCCCGGCGATCCTCGTGTGTACCCCGGGGGCGCGGCCCGGGGCCCCCAGGAACGGGGCGCCCTTCTGGATCTGAGGCTCCCGGCGGCAGGGCCTCGGCTGCGTTCTTGTCCGGAGCTCCCTCTGGCTGGGCTTCGGAGGGGGCAAGGTATCGAGGACCGCTGCCCTGGCCCCGTTCTCGCGTCGGTGGGCATCCTGGGAGGCCCTCGCCGCCACGGCTGGGCTCGCCCAGAAGTTCCGCTCCGCAGGCGCCCGGGAGAGGTCCGGGGAGTGGCGGTAGCGGTATCGATACCTTTTGGTCTTCCCAAGGTCTTGATTGCACCGCACCTCTTTGGTGTTGTTCTCACCCCTGGGCGCCAGGATGAGCAGGGCACAGGCAGAGACCGGGCTCCAGAGGCCTGATCTTTGTCCAGGGCCGTCGTGGTGTTGGGGCGGAGGCAGGGGCATTGACAAAACGTCGATCGCCCATCTCGAGGGAGCGCAGACTTGGATGGGTTCAGGCGCGTGGATTAGCGACGGGGCCCGCTTCCATGCAGGATCGACGCGCTCCAAATCGAGTGGCATTGGCCTCACTTTTCGGGGGGGGCCTCTTTCCCGATCCTTGGATCCGGCGCCCACGCGCCAGATCCATAGATTCCGTAATCCATATCAGCGCGCCCGACCTCGCAGGCGGGATCTCGGAGGGAGGATCGTTGGAAAGTGGCGGGCGTCCTAATCAGAATCCCGTCGGTCATCTCGTCATCTCGCCTGCGCTCCCTCCCCCATTGGTCTTCTCGGGCGAAGAAAACTATGCACATGCACCGATCCTGACAACGTCCATCCTTGACCCAGGATCGATGCATATGCCTCCCTGGCCAAGGTAAGAGGGCGTATGCACCGATCCTGGGCTCAGGATGGGCCTGGCCAGAATCGGTGCATGTGCATAGTTCTCATTCCTCTACTAATCAGAATCCCGTTGGTCATCTCGGCATCTCGCCTGCGCTCCCTCCCCCTATTGCTCTTCTCCATGCGGACTGCGCCCCCCCGTGCGCAGCCCATGCGTGAACCTTGAACGGTCCTTCTCCTGCACTTAAGTCGGGCCTGTCCCTCTACAGGGGGGATATTCAAAAATAGTCAAAACATATTCTGGGGAGTATTGTTTGACCATGTTTGAGCATTGTTAGTATATTTTTTATTTTCGTTTTTTTAATCGTCCAAAATCGGCCTGCAGGGGGACACGCCCGACTCAATCCTGCACCCCTCCCCCCCTTCCCCCCTTCGCACTCCTCCCGATCCTCCCTGCCCTCGCCTGTGGGAGGAGGAGATATCGGGTGCTGCCAAAAGTGGTCCTGGCCCAAGTCGCAGGCATAGAGGTTGACACCAACACCAAGATCGGCGGTGTGCCTCCACCGAGGGAAGACGATCCCGATCTCGGAGATGGTGGTAATATTCCGGCTTCTAAGGTGACCGAAATATTACCACCAACACCGAAATCTAGGATCATCTTCCCCATGTGGAGGCCACCCCTTGTGCTGGTGTTGGTGCCCATTTCCAGGCCTCCAACCAAGGCTTCGTGAGGGGTGTTCCGGAGGCCACCAGGGCCTCCCTGCAATCCTGCGGGCACGGGCCGCAGATACCTCTTGGCAACGCCTGAGAGGGACGAGGGGGCAGAGGGCATGCGTGAGGAGGAGGAGGAGGAGGAGGAGCAGCAGCAGGGCGACGAGGAGCAGGTCGCCCCTGCGGGAGGACGGGGGCCTCGCCGTTTTGATCTCGAGAACTTGCGTTAGGTGCAGCTGTCATCGCACCAGTGCCATCAGGGTTTCGAAGAAGATCTCCTGGGCAACCCAGAGTCCAGAGCAGGAACTTTTTAGTAAGCTGAGGTCTTGAATGGGACTGGTCAGCGGGCGAAGAAGGGTATAACATAGGCTTTTCCGACACCAGGGGCGCCTGTCCCAGGGCGACTGGAAAGTTTATACCTTGACGTGCCACCGTAGCGCCGTAGGGGTATCAACTTTCCAGCCGCCTTACAGGCGCCCCCGACGGCGAACAGGTTTATGTCATACCGTTCTTCGCCCGTTTAAACTGAGACGAGAGAACGGCCAGGAGAGCGAGGACGAGCCGCCGCACCCGCCGCCGCCATCGTCGCCCTCTCCCCAGACATCCGGCGCCGCTCCATTTGTTTTTTGATGCGCCGGCCCTGGAGGTCCAGACCATTTCCCCGGGGCCGGTTTTTCGTCCCGAGTTGTTTGGTTGACGCTCCCGAGGCCCGGCGAGGGCCCCCGGAGGGTGAAAACTGCCCAAATCTCGCCGCTCCGATTTTTGTTGCAGCGTCGGATCTCTGGGTCGCCGCGGCCGCCCCTCCTCCTCCGGGGCCGCCGCCGCCGCCGCCTCCGCCCTGCCCTGGACGAGGACTGCGCCTACACCGAGGACTGGCGGGCCGGCGCCCGCAGGGCCCTGGAGGCGCCGCCCGCCCTTGCGTCGGGGCGGGCCTCGTCGCCGCGGGGCTCGCCGCCTCCGTCCGTCCGTCCCGTCCGCCGTGGTGGTCGCCTTCGTCGTCGCGGTCGTCGTGGTCGTGCTCGTCGCCTTCGTCGTCGTCGTCGTCGTGGTGGTGGTGGTTGTCGTCGATGTCGTCGTCGTCGTCGTCGTCGTCGTCGTCGTCGTCGTCGTCGATGTCTTCGTCGTCGTCGTCGTCGTCGTCGTTGTCGTCGTCTTGGTGGTCGTCGTCGCCCGTCGTCGTCGTCGTCCCACGTCCTCGGCGTCGTGGGCGTCGCGGATGTTGCTGTATCGGTCCTCGTCGTCGTTGACGTCCGTCGTGAGGGGAGGCGGGCGGAGGGGAGGAAGAGGATCAAGGTTCACAGCCGCAGGCGGATGTTTTTTGGGGGACCCAGGCCTTGAAGGGGCCGAGAAGATGGGGTCGGAGGATTGCGCAGCAGCGGCAACAGCATCGACCGCATCAGCACGAGGAGGAGGAATCTGAAAAGGAGCGCAGTGAGGATCGAGGAGGGAATTGCATCCGCAGTGAAATATGTTCTTGCGGTCCAAAGCAAAGTAAGGCGTTGGGGGACATACTTATTTACGCTTCGAGCGGCTCAGAGGATGGAGGAAGCAAGATGAGGGGGGGTGCAAGTCGGGAGTCGGACTGAGACAAGGGAGGAATGATGCTACGGGGAACGAGGGAGGGAGGACGACGAGGAGAGAACGGAGGATGAAGAGAAGGAGGGATGGGGGGGGAGGAGGAGACGTAAGGAGAACGATGTGGAGAGATGAGGTGGAGGAGGTGGAAGGGGGAGGAAGAGGGAGAAGGACGAGGAGGGAGGGGGGGAGTTGTCTAGCACCGGGTGGGCCGCGGGCGGGTCGCGTGTGGGTCACGGGTGGGTCGCGAGCCAGGTCGCGAGTGGGATGGCGATAACAAGAACAACAACAGCAATAACGCCGATGTTACCAACAACAACATAAACAACAGCAACACCAACAACAACAGCAACAGCAACAGCAACCATACCAACAACGACACCAACAGCAACAACAGCATCATCAAACACTACTACTACTACTACTACTACTACTACTACCACTACTACTACTACTACTACTACTACTACTATTACTACTACTACTACTACTACTACTACTACTACTACTACTACTACTACTACTACTACTACTACTACTACTACTACAGCAGCATCAGCAACATCATGACTCACACCATCAACAACAACATCATCAGCGACACCAACAATGATATTACCACGAACAACACCAACAACGAACGACAACTAGTGCAGCAACAGCAGCAACGACAACAGCAACAGCAGCAGTACTTTCAAGACTGTTCGCTCTTACCTGATCGCGTGTCATTCAACATGGATATCCCAAATCCTCGAGGCCCGCCCTCTTCGTCTTCGATTGTGCCCCCTTCGAGGGCATTTCTTTCTTACCAGCAGCGTGTATTTCGAACGGCCGTGGGAAGAGAGGACGTGGATGGAAGGACATGACAAGGGGGCGCGAGGAGGATGGAGCACGAGAGCGAGTGGCAGGAGGGGGGCTAGGAGCAGAAAGCATGTGGCATAATCAGGCGGGCAGATCGGGTGGGTAGACAATATCGGGCGGGTCGGAAAGGCGGGCCCAGGCGGCCAGGTCGAGCAGGCGGGCGGGTTGAAGCGTGCGCCCTGCATGAATCACGAGGAGGTCTTGAGCGACAGCGCGATTCCCAAATTATCCGTGAGGGAATCCACAGCGAGAGCGTGATCCTTGAGTGTCGAGGGCGCGGCGTCTGAACAAATTCCGAAGATGTCCCACGCGAGAGCGCGATTTTGGGTGACATTGTGGGGAAGACCCGCGAGAGAGCGCGATGTTGGAATAGTTTGTGGGGAAGTGTGAGGAGGGAGCCGCTGTTGTTGTGTAAACCGAGGGGGGGGCAACACCTTCATTCTGAGACCCGAGAGCCCTTGATAAAAACAGGGTGCGAGCCCCAGGAAAGGCAATTCAATTAAACAACACAAAAGCTCCCCAGAGGGGGGAAAGAACAATAGTTCTCTTCAGTAGTGAGAGTTCAACAACAACAGCGACAACCGCAACAACAACGGCAACAGCAACAACAACAGCAGCAGCAACAGTACGAACAGCAATGCCAAACTTCATCTCATCGCATGCCATTGAGCACGTACATCCCAAACCCTGGATACCCGCCCTCTTCATTTTCGATCGTACCTTCTCAGGGGTATATACATATGTATATTATATGCAACGTGTATTTCGTGCAGCCCTTAAGGCAGTGGAAGAGAGGACTGATAGAAGGAAGGGACAAGGGGCCGGCGCGTTGCTGAAGCGTGCGTCCTGCATGAATCGCGAGGAAATTTCGAACGATAGCACTATTCCCAAGCGCATCGTGAGGGAATCCACAGCGAAAGCGTGATTCCTGAGTGTCGAGGGCGCGGCGTCTGAATAAACTACGAGGATGTCCCACGCGAGAGCGCGATCCTTGTATACATTGTGAGGAAGTCCCGCGCGAGAGCGCGATGTTGGAATACATTGTGAGGAAGTTTCAGGCGGGAGCCGCTGTTGTCCGAAACCGGGGGCCAACACTACAGGTTGGTGGTCATTCACCTTCCCTTGTGAAAAAAACAGGGATCGAGCCCCGGTTTAAGCTTGTGATTGGAAAATACAATGGTTACCGGAGGGGGAATCAACAATATTTATTTTCAGTAGTGAGAGCTCAACAACCACATGGACAGCAGCAACAACAACAACGACAACACCACCAACAACAACAACAACGGGACGGACAACAACAAAAACATTTACAATCACATTAACAACAACAGTGACGGCACCACCACCACCACCACTACCACCAACAACAAGATCAGCAGTAACACCAACAACACCAGCAGCGACAACAACAATATTAAACATAACAATAACAGCAGCAGCAGCCACGGCAACACCAATCCGCACTTAGGAACCCCATTTCAGCCATGCACCTAGGGACAGTGAATGACCGTTCGGCCCCTCACCCTAATAAAAAGGAGGGGGGAACGCAAGATGCCCATCCTGCTGCTCCCCTTCGCCTCCCCTTCCCCTCCCTCTTTTTGCTCCTTCTCCGCTGCATATATTCCTGCGGATCCTACCGCCTCGTCATTATCACGTTGTCGTCGTCGTCGTCGCCGTCGTCGTCATCATCTTCATCATCCTCCTCAGCAGCAGCATCAGCATCATCATTATCGTCATCACCTTCTTCCCTGCGCTTTCGCTTGCCGTGGGGAGGCAGATACCCGTCGCCCCACGCCAGCTTGCAGGTGTATGCGGCCATCCAGCTTCGAACGTACGTCACATGTTCTCCAACGTTCCAGCGTTAAATGTCAGACTTTCAGTGTGCCGAACATCATAAGTTACTAGGACTACCTAGAACGCATTACAACTCTATCGCTCCTCCACTCCTGCTCTTCATTATTGTCCCTCTTCTTCCTGGCACCTCCTACTGCTGCGCAACTGGCAGGAGCGCTTCAAGCTCGAGCCCGAGTGGCAAAAGCAGCACCTGGAGGATCACTCACGTGGTGATCTTCGTCATTGTTGCATGAATCGTTGCCGTCGATGGAGGAGGAGGAAGAAGAGGAGGCGGAGGAGGAGGAGAGGGCAGATGTCGGATGGACGAAAAAGAGGTTCAGGAGGGAGAGGGTGAAAAGGATCAGGAGGATGGAGGGAGGACAAGAGAGAAGGAGAAGATAAATGGAGGAGGAGGAGGAGATAAATGGAAGAAGCTGCCGCGGTCAGAGCGGCAAGAGTCGGGCCAGACGAAAGGGGGGGATAGGGAAAGGGGGGGTTGCGAAATCTGCTGCACGCAGCTGGTTTCGGCCCCACCGAGGGGCCCATTCCTCGATACATGGCCGCCTCCGGCGGCGGGAGGCGCCGGGAAAATCAGCTACGTGAGCTTATTCTCACCCCCCCTTTTGCTATCCCCCCCTTTCGCCCAGCCCGAAAGAGGATTTCCTCCTCGCTCTTCCACTTGCGTTTCCCTCATCTCTCCTAAAGATGTCCACGGGAGACAGGCGTCACTGAAGTCGTCGCTGTCGTCGCAGTCTCTCTCGCCCCCGTCGTCTACGCGGACTCGCTTTCGCTCCCAGATGTTCGAAGACAGAGAGACGCAGCAGGAATGCTAGCCAGCGTGGATCACAAACAGTAGGTTCTTGCAATCGATGCGAAACCCATGTGAAGCAACATGTGCGGTGCAATCTATGTGGTGCAAGACTTGCGACGATGCAGCCTGTGTAATGCGATCTTTGCGGTGCAATATGTGTGGTGCAATGTATGCGATGCAACCTATGCAGTGCAGCCTGTGCGGTGCAGTGCATGCGATGCGGCGACGGCGCCGGGCGGCGACGGGTGGCACAGGCGGGGACGGTGGCGACGGGCGGCGCAGGCGACGGGCGGCGATGGGCGGCGACGGGCGGCGACGGGCGGCGCGGCGGCGACTTTGCAGCGAGGGCCTCGAGGGAGTTCACCGAAGCAAGCACCCCTAGTGCTGCAATCACTGCTTGGGGAACATGAGATGCGTCGGGTAAAATTATTATTCTTCTTCTTCTCCAGCGTTCGAGGCCCCCCGAAGCTGCAGCATGAAGCATAAGTGGCACAGGGGCGGCGGCAGCGATCCACCCGCCGGGCAGCCGCCGACGCCGCCCACACCGCTCGGAAGCGCGCCTCCAGCAGCCTGCCCCGGCAGCAGCAGAGACCCTCCCGCGAAAGCTCGGGGAAGTTCGAGGCCCTTGCTCGTGCCCGCTCTGATTGGAGCCTGGGGGGGGGGGGCTGGGCCTTAGTGGGCCTGTGTCTTCACCAGTTCCGAAACTTACAAGTGTCTCTTGAAAGTAGAAACGGTGACGGAACAAGCAAATAAATGCAAAACGGAACCGGTAAAAAACACCGGCCTTGTCGCTTCCAGGGCCCATCAAGGGCTCCACGGTGTCTTCCTCGCCCTCCTCCAAGGTAACCTCACATGCTCCCCCTCATCTTCTTCCACCTGCTCCAGAGCCGCATCCTTCTCCTCCTCATCCTCCTCCTGCTCCTCTTCCTCCTCTTCCTCCCTCCCCTCCCCTCCCCTCCCCTCCCTCCCGCCCTCCCTACCCCCCCTGCGGATCCGAGGGTGGACGCATCGCCAGAAGAGCGGACAGGGCCAGGCGAGGCCGGTCGGGGGTCGGGGCCACGGGCTACTTTTGACAAGGACACGGCTCGGGGAGGGCGGGCCGCGACGGGGGGTCGTCATAGAGCAGCTTCTAGGGGGCCGCGTGCGAACCCTCCCCCTACCCCCACGATTTTTGAGGGGGAGGGTGGGGTTCACTGAATTCAGGAGCTCCCGAGCGAGGTGAACCCCACCCTCCCCCTCAGAAATCGTGGGGGGTAGGGGTTAGGTTTGCAAGTGGCCCCCTAGCTTCGTCCAGCGACGAAATCCGAACCTTGCCCTCGCCGATCAACGATGCAGGCAACTCGATGGGCGGCGGGGATAGGGTACGGAATTCGTCGAACGCGTGGCGAAGTCCGAACCCTACCCCCGGTTGTCATCGATTGGGGAGAGTCGACGGTTGGTGGGGCTAGAGTTCGGACGTCGCCACTTACCCGTGGACGCATACCTGTGGCACTGTTGCTGCATCTCGAACGCGCGTCGACGCCGAATCGAAACGAGATCTGCTTGGGAACATATGGGAAGTGGGGGGAAGATTGAAACCCAGAAAATATGGGAGAATATGGGGAATCCTCTTATTTGTGTGTACTTATTTGTGTGTCCTGGGGCCCCTGCAGTGTGGGATTTCGACGGAGTTCTGGCCACGGGCCACACGGGCCTCCAGGCACGGGAGATTGCGCCCTCCCAAGTTGCCGGGATTCCCCCGGGCACTGCAGCAGAGCCCCACCCACCTCAGGGCCCCCAAGACGACGCACGCGGTGACCACACCAGTGGGAATTCGGGGCCAGCGCGCAGTCTTGGGATTCGGGTTCGTTCTCCGAGGATGTCTCCGGCAACTGCGGTGAGGTCGTCGGGGGATTCCGAGGTCACCGCACGGTCTGTCACCACGCTGCGCTCGAGGCCGCCAACTGATCCCTCGGACTAGAGGGAGGCGGAGGGGCTCCGAGCCATGCCCCTGCCTGCTTCGGGAAGGCGACGATGGGGCGAGTGAGCCCGCAGGCGGGCGGTTTTTTGGCACGTCTTCGCTGGGGAGCCTCGCCGACGGCATCATTTGACTATCGGCACCCCTGGATGCGTGTATTGCTCCCCCCTGGGCCATTCGCCCCTGTCGTTGCCTCCCCCGCTGTCTTACCGCCGCGAGCGCTTTGGGAGGCGAAGGAAGTTTCCGTTTCGTGCACCTCAGGCCCGTCTTGGGCCCACGAGGGGCACGAAAGGCGCATGCCTTTGATTCATCGCCCTCCCCTGAGGCACCGAGTCGTCGTCCCTCCGCCGTGTCTTCCGTGGCCATCGCCTCCTTCGTCTCTCGAGCCCCCGTTCGGTCCCCGCTCGCCTCTGTGCTGAGCGTCCGGGAGCTTGCGCCTGACTCTTAGCCCATTTCCAAATATATGAGACAAAACGACGCCTAGGGCCCTCTCGATCCTCCTCCTCCTCCTCCTCCTCCTCCTCCTCCTCCTCCTCCTCCTGTTCCTCCTGTCCCTCCTCCTGCTCATGCTCCTGCTTCTCCTCCTGATCCTCCTCCTGCTCCTCATCCCCCTCCTCCTCCTCCTCGAACGCTTGAGGTCCAACGTTTCCCGCCGACGCGCAGGACTGCGTATGGCTTCGTGCCCTCTCTCGTGTCTTATTTCCTCGGCTTCGGCTCCTGGGGATCAAGGATCCCCGGGGACCCTTAAAAATGGACTTGGGGCGGGAAACTGCCCTGGGGAGAGGGTTCGGTTCGGGCCCCTGGGCCGCGGAACTGCACAGATCATGCGCTGGAGCCCCATGCCAAGAAACACCCTGCTTGCCTCCGGGTGCCCTTGGTTTCCTGGGTCTCGATGGTTTTGCCATGGAGCGCGTGACGTTCCACGCCAGAGCTCAGCGGGTATCCTGGGGTCTCGGGGCTGGGCTTCTTGTCGAAGGTTTCTTGTGGTCGAGCTCCTACTGCATCGCTCCTCCTCCTGCTCTTCCCCTCCCTCCTCCTCCTCCTCCTCCTCCTCCTCCTCCTCCTCCTCCTTTCCTCCTCCTCCTCTTCCTCCTCCTCCTCCTCCTGTTCCTCCCCCTCCTCCCCTCCTCCCCCCCTCCCCCTCCTCCTCCTCCTCCTCCTCCTCCTCCTCCTCCTCCTCCTCCTCCTCCTTCCCCTCCTTCAGCTGCTTTAGGGTGTCAGGGGTGGCGCTCGGGGACGCCGCCGCCGGCGGGCCCCGCGGCCCTCAGCGTGCGGACCGCAGGAGGTGCCCGGCAGCCACTCCTTCCGCGTGGAGGACGTGCGCAGCGACGGGTACCCCGGGCTCTGCACCTTGTACTGCATCCACGAGGCCCGGCCAGCGCCAGGAGCACAGGGCTCGTCTCGATTCCTTCAATTCGATCCGATTCGATTCGATTCGAGCTCGGTGGCCTCCAGTTCCGATCCGATTCGACTTCGGATTCCGATATGGACTCCGATCTCTCGATGAGGCATTACTACTCCGCTGATCTCTGCTGATTCGACTTCTCCCGACTCGGCTGCCGATTTCCGCCCATCCGATTCACTTCGTTCGCCGATCCGATTTCTCGATTCGATTCCGGAGTCCCACTGGAAGTACTGTGCCCCAGTTGAGATCCTGGCCTCGCATTGTTGCTCACGCCGGGCGTTCTCGCCCTGCTTCGAGCCCTGGCGCCCTCACAGCTCGGTCCGGCTCGAAAGATGCGGACAGGCTCAGGGGGGGGGACGCATCGACACCCAATCGCCCATTCATCGCCGACAAAGACCTGATATCGGCGTCACCCCAACATACTTCTACTAGATGTGCGTCGCCCCACTAGGGGCGACGCGCGCATCGAGAAATCTTATAGTATATGCGTCGTGGCAGGCGCTTTCTGGCCACACCGCTCGGGAAACGATATCCTACAAGATAGGTATGCTATATGTTCGGGTCGGACGCGCGCCTCCAAGGAGGACATCTAGTATCAGTATGTCCCGGTGCTTCCCAGAATAGACCTCCCCGCCAAGGAATGTGCGCATTCGCCGCATTCGCCACCAAGGGGCCTCCCTGGCGCGCGGAGCGCGCCAGGGGCGGCGCCGGAGGCGCCGCCGGGAGGCCCCAGCGCCGATCCGAGAAATCCGCGCGGACCTCCGAGGTTTTATGTTTATGTCATTTTTTGTTCCCCTAGAATTGGCGACACATCGCCGACAGAGCGGCGGTAGGCCCCAGCGCCGATCCGAGAAATCCGCGCGGACCTCCGAGGTTTTATGTTTATGTCACTTTTTGTTCCTTTAGATTCCAGGTCGGCGTCCCTCCGTGGGCGAGTGCGTCCCCGCGCACCACCGGGCCCCCGGGGGGCCCAGTGCCAGACGTGCGCTGCTCGCCCACGGTCCGGCGCCCGTGCCTCTGCCGCGGCCGTGACTGCCCCGCAGGCGCCTGCGCCCGTGTCTCTGCTGCGGCCGTGACTGCCCCGCAGTTGGCCGGCGCCTCGAAGCAGGAGAAGAAGAAGCGGAAGCGGAAGACGAAGAAGAGAAAGAAAGAGCATTCGTCCTCACGAGCGGCGACCGTATTCATATCCACGCCGTCGCGGTCTGGATATGTTCCCGCGCGGGGCATCCGCGAGGAAATGCTCCGTATCCGTGGGGTCGCGGCCTGGGGGCCCGGCCCGCGAGGCTGCGGAGACGGATCGTGTTCCCCCACGAAGTCCGTGGTGGGCCATGGTGGCTTCGACGATCACCGGCGCGCCCAGGGGGAGGGCAGAGGGTGCGATCCTCTATGAGAAGGCTCCGAAGGCTTCCAGCCAAGCCTTCTCCGAAGCCGCAGACGGCTTCTGAGAAGGCTGGACGGAACGCTCCTGAGAATCCCCGCCGCCTTCTGCTGAGAAGGCGTGCCTCTTCTTACTGTCTTACTCCCCCTGTCGGCGCGATTTGCCGGGATGAGGCAGTGAGGTGTGTGACATCGCTGCCGGCGTTGCAGGTCTCTAAGTACTCTAAATTCAGGTCTTGTCTAACGCAGCTCTGCGTCCAGGGGTGCCAGCTCGATCTCACTGGCTACTCGGAGGCTCTCCTTGGGCGTGAGCTGCGCAACGTCGCAGAAGAGCTCTGAACATGCAGGGCGGCGTCCATTGGCGTCGCGTTGGAGCCGTCTGGAGGTCTGAGGTGGCCCAGCACCTGGTTCTGGCCAGCAGGACGGGTGGGCAGGTTTGCGGTTCTGGTTTTGGTATGGTTTTAGGTGTTTTTTTGTTGCCTCTGGGGGCCGTTTGCGGCCCCTTACTCCACACCGCTGGCCCCTTGCGGGATTGGCGGTTGTGGCGTGTTGGTCCTGAGGGCCTCTTGGGCACCCTTTGCCTTCTTGGGAGCTTCTTGGCGCCCTTCTGGGGGTCTCTGGAGGGCCTGGTGGGCATCACCACGAAGGCACTCAATGATTATGAGGAGGCACCGTTCAGTATCATCGGCTGGGTGAGTCACAAGATTAAGCGCGTCGTGGGCAGCACCATGGCGGCGGAGAGTTTTAGTTTCAGTGATGCGTTGGCCGAGGCTGAATGGCCATGGTCCCTATTGGCAGGAGACGATGTGAAGTGATTTTGATGCAGTTCCGGGGCGAGGGATTTCGGTTCCAGAACGTGAGGATCCAGCAGTTGCAGTGCTCAAGAGTGACAGCACGATTTCATTGCATCCGAGTGTTGTGAGTGTTGTTGACGCCAAATCGCTATTTGACAATCTTGTGAAGGAGACGACAGGAGGCAATGATCGTGGGGTTGCGTTCGAGCTGTGTGTTCGCAGGCAGTTTATGTGCGCTTTAGGTTGCAGGGCCAGATGGGTTCAGCACCATTGTATGCCAGCAGGTGCTTTTACAAAGAGATCGCCCAACACTGCAGTTCTAAGCAGATTGATGCGTACAGGGCGATACCGTATCTTTGATGAACAGGGCGAATTGCAGAAACGAGTTGCCGAGAAGGCTAAGCGTGGCGTTGCGCCGCGACCGCACAGGCGAGAACAGGCCAACAGGCAGTCGATAGGATGTGCTGTTACGCCGACGAAGGTTTCCGTATAGACGGCTGCTGCCGCTTCATACCAGTTTTGTTTCATATGTGTTTATTGAATCGCTTCGCTCATTCCGCCGGCCCGTATTGTGCCATCGCGGGGTCTTGGGAGGGTTTTGGGGGCCTTTGGAAGCTTCGTGGGAGCGTCTTGGGAACTTTGGGAGGCCTCGTGGGTGGCTCTGGGTGGGCCCTCTTGGTGGTCTCTTGGGGGGGTCTGCCTGGCCTCTTGGGGGCCTCCTGGGAGCTTCCTGGGGGTCTCTTGGGGGCCTCTTGGGGCTTTCTTGCGGCCTGTTGGGGGCCTCTTGGGGCTCTCTTGGGAGCTTCGTGGGGCTACTTGGGGGCTTGTAGGGGCATTTCGGGGGCGTGTTTGGGCGGGGGGCTCAAAATTTCCGTTCAGATTGCCCCTGTGGACCTCAATCATGGGGCCGTCTTCGGGCCTCTTGGACCGTCTTGAGGGTTTCTTGGGCCTTCTTGGAACGCTGTTGGGCCGTCTTTGAGCGGTCTTGAGGGTCTTTCGGGCCGTCTTGGGGTGATCTTGGGGGCCTCTTGGACCGCCTTGGAAGTTGTGAAAGACGAAGAGGCGGATATGTTAAAGATGCACGCTTCCCTAAGGGAATGGGACGATTTTTGCTTGTGGGAGCCCTCTTGGGGCGCCGCTTAGGGACCTCTTGGGGCGTCTTGAAGGCCTGTTGGGCCGTCTTGAGGCCATCGTAGGCGTTTGGGAGTGATATTTCGGCGTCTCCCGGCTCTCTTGGACCGTCTGGAGGGCTTCTCGGGCCTCTCTTGGACCGACTTGGAGCCCTCCTGGGCTTCGAAAAAGAGTTCTTGAGGGTTTCTTGGGCCTTCTTGGAGCGCTCTTGGGCCGTCTTTGAGCGGTCTTGAGGGTCTCTCGGGCCGTCTTGGGGTGATTTTTGGGGCCTCTTGGACCGCCTTGAAAGTTGTGAAAGACGAAGAGGCGGATATGTTAAAAACGCACGTTTTCCTAAGGGAATGGGACGATTTTTGCTAGCCGTCGTGGGCGTTTGGGACTGATATTTCGGTGTCTCCCGGCTCTCTTGGACCGTCTGGGGGGCTTCTCGGGCCCCTCTTGGACCGATTTGGAGCCCTCCTGGGCTCCGAAAAAATAGTTTTTGAGGGTTTCTTGGGCCTTCTTGGAGCGCTCTTGGGCCGTCTTTGAGCGGTCTAGAGGGTCTCTCGGGCCGTCTTGGGGTGATCTTGGGGGCCTCTTGGACCGCCTTGAAAGGTGTGAAAGACGAAGAGGCGGATATGTTAAGGTGCGCGTTTTTCTAAGGGAATGGGACGATTTTTGCTTGTGGGAGCCCTCTTGGAGCGCCGCTTAGGGACCTCTTGGGGCGTCCTGAAGGCATGCTGGGCCGTCTTGAGGCCATTGATGGCGCTTGGGAGTGATATTTCGGCGTCTCCCGGCACTCTTGGACCGTCTGGAGGGCTTGCCGGGACCTTGCCGGGACCTTACCGGGACCTTGCCGGGACCTTGCCGGGACCTTGCCGGGACCTTGCCGGGACCTTGCCAGGACCTTGCCGGGACCTTGCCGGGGTACTTTTCGTCTGGGGACCCCCAGGGCCCGCCCCGCGCGCGCGAATTAGAAATATTGTTGAGCAGTTATTGGAGATCTTAGCACGCCTCTTTGTTTCATATGTGTTTATTTCGCACATTGGCGAATATCCATGTCAGCCTTGTTTACAGTTTTATCCCGCACACTGGCGGATTTCATATATGCTTGACTTATATGTTATTTGATTTCGCATGATAGCGAATACGCGCACGCTGTGGCCAAAGACTTTCTTGGGGGCTGTGATTTCTGTGCTCCTGAGGCCTAATGATTGTATGTAGGCCTATGTTGCCCACAATCGTTTCGGCTCGCATTGGCGTTGCGTTCCGTAGCCCGCTTGGGTCATATCATTGCGCAGTTTGAAAGAGTCCGCGATTTTTATTCCAGATCTTATAGATTTCTCGCCTCCTCCTCCTCCTCTTCCCCCTCCCCCTCCCCCTCCCTCCTTGCCCCCGTACGTTTTCCTCTTCCTCTTTTCCTTCGCCTCTCCGCCGCCGGATTCCTACCTGTCGCGCGAGATGGTAACACAGGCCTTCAGAAATCCTACAGGCAGGAGGCGAGCGAACAGCACGACCTGGTTGTGAGGGGTGGGATGACGAGAAGGGCGACGATGGGGGAGGGAGAAGAGCCGGCGAGGCTCAGGAGGAGGAGGAGGAGGAGGAAGAGGAGGAGGAGGAGGAGGAGGAAGAGGAGGAGGAGGAGGAGGAGGAAGTGGAGAGAGGGGGATGTGGAGGAGGTATGTGGAAGTGGGGGATGCTGGCGGAGGGGGAGGAGGACTGAGCAAGAGCTGGAGGAATGACGACGGCGGCAGGACCGAGGGGCGAGGGGGGAGCGAAGAGAGGGGACTCCCATTTTCTCCCAGGCTGTTCGGTTTTCGCACTGTCTCTGGACCGAGTTGATCGGCGACGTTCTCAGAAGGCGGCAGGGTTTCTTAGAAGCCCTCCAGCCTTCAGAGAAGGTTCAGACAACTTTTCAGAAGGCCAGGAAACTTCCGAGCCTTCTGAGAAGGCCCGCCCCTTCCCACTTCCCCACGGCTCACCGCCAAGTAGAGGCTTGGGGATGGGGGGTGGAGCGGAAGGAGAGGGAACGAGACGGAGTCAATGGTTCAACAAGGTCACTCTCCGCGTCATCGACCCGACGCACCCGGACGCGAAGATCATTGGCTTGCCAATGGGCGTCGAGTTCGTGACAACCGACGGCGAATACACGTTCGAGAAGTTGAGCACCGACGACCGAAGGGGGGTGCGAGGCGGGGAGAGAGGGACGTAGTACGCTCGTGCACGCGCTGATCCAATCCGCTTGAGGGAGGAGGAGGGAGTACAGGTAACACCTACGTAAGGATGAACCCTTTTCGCAGGGGGCACCTTGCATCCATCGGTCCTGGCCGTCCTTAGCACGTTTTCGGCTTCCCTGGCCCAAGGGTGCCATTTTGCAATGCGCCCGGAAGCGCGGGGGGCCAAGGACGCTGCCCGGCTAGGGTCCCTTGCTTGGGTCCCTTGCATCTTTGTTCCCAACCCTCCTGCGTTGGGTACTCGTTTTGTATAGAGCACTGCGGTCGCGTCTTCCCTCCTCCTTCCCGTCCCTCTCCTCTCCTCCCTTCTCCTCCTCCTCCTCTTTTCTCTTGCATCCCTTCTCCTCTCTTCGCTCCTCCTCTTCTCTCTTGCTTCCCTTCACCTCTCAACTTCGGTCCTCCTCTTCTCTCTTGCCTTTTACGTCGCTTGCCCCTCGCCATCCCTGGGGGGCTGCGATCTGTGAAACTGGCGACACTTTCGAGGGCTGCTGGGGGGTTCAGCGGAGTGACGTCCTACGGGGACTCAGATTAGACCTCGCCGTTCCTGGGGGGCTGCGATCTGTGAAACTGTCGCCACTTTCGAGGTCTGCTGGGGGGCCCAGCGGAGTGACGTCTTACGGGCACTCAGATTAGACCTCGCCATCCATGGGGGGCTGCGATCTGTGAAACTGTCGCCACTTTCGAGGGCTGCTGGGGGGCCCAGCGCAGTGACGTCCTACGGGGACTCAGAGACCTCGCCATTCTTGCGGGGCTGCGATCTGTGAAACTGTCGCAACTTTCGAGGTCTGCTGGGGGGCCCAGCGGAGTGACGTCTTACGGGCACCCAGATTAGACCTCGCCATCCCTGGGGGGCTGCGATCTGTGAAACTGTCGCCACTTTCGAGGCCTGCTGGGGGGCCCAGCACAGTGACGTCTTACGGGGACTCAGATTAGACCTCGCCATCCCTGCGGGCTGCGATCTGCGAAGCTGTCGCCACTTTCGAGGGCTGCTGGGGGGCCCAGCACAGTGGGTACCTACGGCGGACTCAAATGGGACCTCGCCATCCAGCACAGTCTGCACCCGCGGCGGACTCAAATGGGACCTCGCCATCCCTGGGGGGCTGCGATCTGTGAAACTGTCGCCACTTTCGAGGCCTGCTGGGGGGCCCAGCACAGTCTGCACCCGCGGCGGACTCAAATGGGACCTCGCCATCCCTGGGGGGCTGCGATCTGTGAAACTGTCGCCACTTTCGAGGCCTGCTGGGGGGCCCAGCACAGTCTGCACCCGCGGCGGACTCAAATGGACCTCGCCATCCCTGGGGGGCTGCGATCTGTGAAACTGTCGCCACTTTCGAGGGCTGCTGGGGGGCCCAGCACAGTCTGCACCCGCGGCGGACTCAAATCTGCTGGGGGGCCCAGCACAGTGGGTGCGGACTCAAATGGACCTCGCCAGCACAGTCTGCACCCGCGGCGGACTCAAATGGGACCTCGCCGTCCCTGGGGGGCTGCGATCTGTGAAACTGTCGCCACTTTCGAGGCCTGCTGGGGGGCCCAGCACAGTCTGCACCCGCGGCGGACTCAAATGGGACCTCGCCATCCCTGGGGGGCTGCGATCTGTGAAACTGTCGCCACTTTCGAGGCCTGCTGGGGGGCCCAGCACAGTGGGTACCCACGGCGGACTCAAATTGGACCTCGCCATCCCTGGGGGGCTGCGATCTGTGAAACTGTCGCCACTTTCGAGGCCTGCTGGGGGGCCCAGCACAGTGGGTACCCACGGCGGACTCAAATGGGACCTCGCCATCCCTGGGGGGCTGCGATCTGTGAAACCGTCGCCATTTTCGAGGCCTGCTGGGGGGCCCAGCACAGTGGGCACCCACGGCGGACTCAAATGGGACCTCGCCATCCCTGGGGGGCTGCGATCTGTGAAACTGTCGCCGCTTTCGAGGCCTGCTGGGGGGCCCAGCACAGTGGGTACCCACGGCGGATTCAAGTTAGACCTCGCCATCCCTGGGGGGCTGCGATCTGCGAAACTGTCGCCACTTTCGCGGCCTGATGGGGGGCCCAGCACAGTGATGCCACACGCAGGTTCAAGTTAGACCTCGCCATCCCTGGGGGGTTGCGATCTGCGAAACTGTCGCCACGTTCGAGGCCTGCTGGCGGGGCCCAGCACAGTGACGCCTCCCAAGTAGCGTACACATCAAGTTGATTGTTCATACAAGTTTCGGCCAACTCCTCGTTTCCATTGATACAAATTGGTTGGGTACGTCACAGCGTAATTTGTTGTGTAGTGTTGTCATGTTTTTCTTATAATTTCGGCGCGTCCCACGGGCCTTGCACCCCTAAGCTCAATATTGGTCGCTTATGTTAAGAGTTAGGAGGGGAACAAACACTGGCACAATTAATCGTCGATTCCCCAAGTGGGAGGGAAGACAAAAACCCAGAACATGTAGGACAATATAGGGGAATCATGTTACATGTGTCGATTTATGTGTGTGTCCCAGGGCCCCTTCAACGAGGTGAAAATTGTTGACGCTTCGCGAATCCCGATCCAGAAGCGGTACCCATCAGCCCATCCAGAAACGGTGCCCAGAGGAATTGCCTCGATCAGGAAAGTGGACAGCACACAAAGGAAGCCATTCTGAGACATCTTGGGATATCTTGAGCCATCTTGGAGGTCATCTTGGGCTCTCCCAGGCGCTCTTGGAGCCATCTTAATCAGTGCCCCCCCCAAGAGGCCAACATGTGGCTAAAACCTGCGTAAAATCAATGATTTGGCATTCTCGCCGAGGCCTCTTGGAGCATCTTGGGTGCCTCTGGGGGTTCTCTTGGGGCCTCTTGGGGGTCTCTTGGGAGCCTCTTGGGGGGCATCCTGGGGGCCTCTTGGGGCTTCCTGGCCACCTCTTGGGGCCCTCTTGGGGCACCCTTGGGAGCCTTGGGGGCCATCTTTGGGCCATCTTGGGTGAGATCGATCACGGGAGGGGGGGTACTAATTACAGCCCCCCAAGAGGCAAACATGGAGCCGAGACCCTAGTAACACCAATGATTTTGGTTTCCTCGCCGAGGCCGTTTTGGACGCCCTGACACCTCGCGAACCCCCCCGTCCAGGTCCAGGGGAGGGGGTAGGGAGAGGGGTCAAGAGTCTCCCTCCCCGCCCGCAAGCCGTCTCGCTCACTCCCACCCGCCCTCCCAACACATACGTGGCATCCGAGCCTGGCCCGAGCCGCAGTATATGCAGCAGTCGTCTTTGGATGGCCAGCTACTGGGGACCAATCCGCCGCCGCCTCCGCCGCCGCCCGCCGCCGCCGCCGCCGCTGCCGAATCGCCGCCGCCGCAGCCGCTGCCCGCGCAGCCACTGCCGCCACCGTTGCCGTCGCCGCCGCCGCCGCCGCCGCCGCCGCTGCCGCCGCCGCAGCCGCCGCAGCCGCCGCCGCCGCCGCCAAGTGTACTCTGTATTGTTTTTTGACAGGGATGGTGGGGGGAGGCCGCATCGGGTTCGCTGCGCATGCTCCGAATGTGGAGGCAGAGTGTGTTTTGCATTGTTTTTTACAAGGGATGGTGGGGGGGTGCCCGCATTGACCCTGGTTGGCTCCCAGTCGCTTGTGGGAGGGGGTGTATAACAGGGAGCAGTGATAAACCCCTCCCCGAAGGGGAAAAAGGAGGGGTGGAAGAGGAAACGCTCTAAACCACCGACGCCCAGAGGGCTGGTGGGATTCGACGGAGGAAGAAGCAGTGGGAGGGAACAGCATGTTGCTAGATGCTGGGGCTGGCGCCTGGGCGGCCGTATGGACCTGCCCTGTTGTCTCTTGGCCGCCGACGCGCAGCTCTGCCTTCTTGTCACCTCTGCCCCCAAACAGCTCTTGCACGACGAACGGGCCCTCGATCCGTTCCCGAGTGGCTGACTTGCTCTTCCGAGGCTTCGCCCGCAGCCCACCCACGCAGTCGTTGTGCCCCCCGTGCGTCGTCCGGCCCTTTCGGGCCTTCGCCCGGTGCCCGCGCCGTGGCCACCCCGTGCGCTGGGCGGCGCCGACGGCTTCTCGCCCGGCGTGCCCGCCCGTGCCCCGCCCCGCCGCCCAGCTCTGGGTGCGCGGAGTGCACCGCGCAGAGCTCGCACCACACAGCCTGCAGCCAGCAGGCTGCACCGCACAGGCCGCTCCACACGCCACACGGCTCGCATCACGCAGCACGCGCACTGCACGGCTGCAACGTGCACGCCTGGGCATGTGATGTGTACCTTGCACCCCCACGCACTGCACCACATGGAGACAGTTTTGGTCTCCCTGGCGTGACCAGGGGGGGGAGGGGGGCCGGTCATGTTACGATTTGCGCAGGCGCCGTCCGGGAATGCGTAGGAATGGCTCATTCCCAGACGGCGCCGGCGCGAATCGTGACGTGACCAAGGAGGGGGAGGGGGGGGACGGGGCCCGTCACAGGCGTCGTCGTGAATCTTGGAAAAATGGGATCGGATTGCACCTTCTACACTGCCCCATGCCTGCTGCATCGAAGAGGTATCACCATACAGACTGCAACACGAATATCGCGCGTTGAGAATACAACTGTCACGTTGTTTGGAGCCCACGCTGGCAAACTTTGCCTCTATTATCGTTGGGCCGTTGGTTTAGGACAACTGAGCAACCAGGCACGGCGATGTGAAGTACATGCATGTACAAAACCAGGCCTGGCTCGCTTTCTCAGTGCAGCCAGTTCTCGTAGCCAGCTCTCGCTTGCGCAGGTATTCGCTTGCGCGCTGCCCACGTCGGGTCTGACGTAGGGCCGCCCCAACGCGTTCTGACCACAATTTGCGGACGCCCCGCGCGGAACTACTCCGTGCGACCGTGTAACCGCGGGATCGCGCCCTGGAAGGCTTCTCAGAAGCACCCTTATTCTAAGAAGCCTTACCCTTCTCCCCCTCCCCCTCCTCCTCCCCCCCCTCCTCCTCCTCCTCCTCCTCTCCTTCCTCCTCCTCCTCCTCCTCCTCCTCCTCCTCCTCCTCCTCCTCCTCCTCCTCCTCCTCCTCCTCCTCCTCCTCCTCCTCCTCCTCCTCCTCCTCCTCCTCCTCCTCCTCCTCCTCCTCTCCCTCGTCCTCCTCACGTGCGCGCCGCCAAGTCTCCTCGCCGCTCCGCCCGCTCCCTCGACCATCCAGGCGCCGCAGCGCGCCCGAAGCTCGCCACTGCCCGGCGGCCGCCGCCCCCATCGGCGCTCCAGCGCCGCGCGATTTCGCCGGGGCCGACGCCGCTCGAGCCGCGCGGGCGGCCCACGCGGGCGCCTCGAGAGAGGCGGTGGGGCCCATGGTGGGGAGCCTGGCCTCGGGGGTCTCGGCATCGCTCTCGGACGTGTGCATTTGCTCGGCGAGGGGCATCTTGGATCACCGTGAAAAAACATACGTAGGCGCACGAAGCCCGAAACCGCACGCGGAACGGACGTCCGCGCGATGGCAGGGGGGCTCCGAGAGTGCAGCCTTGGGCCAGGGGCACCTTGGGCCAGGCGCCTTTCTAGCAGCACCGTGCTGCAACTCCAGGAGGCTTGCGAGTTCAGTCCGGGCTAGAGGTTTCAGTCTAGGCTTGGACGTGTCGGACGGGGCTGGGACGAGGTTAACTCCGCTCCAGATTGTTTCAGAACGCTCTCAGATCGTTCCAGAACGCTCTGAGAAGGCCGCGGCGCCCGACACATCTTCCAGAGCCCTTGGATCTTTGAGATCTTAGGTTTATCCTCACCAGATCTTGTCCACGTCCTGGCTTCGTCTTAGCGTGAGGCCCACGGTGGGGAGCCCTGCAGCTCCAGAAGGCCTGGCTTTTCCGTCTATAGGCCTCCCCAGTGGCGGAGGTCTTCAAGCTCGATCAAGCTTCGGTTCGGAGCAATGCCCCATTCCGCCGGCACAGGTTGCGATGGGCCGCGCGGGCTGTGGCCCGCGCCGTGGCTTTGGCCTCCGCACGCTTCCGATGGGGGCGTGGTCCCTGCCGGGAGGTGGAGGAGGGGAGGAGACAGACCATGAGCTGAAAATTAGCACCCATGATTCGAGTCAACACGAGTGGTATGTGCGTGTGACTTTCCAGGGTTGCCCTTGCATGCTTCCCATTTGGGCTAGACGGGGTCGGAGGACCGCGCCACATCGCCGATGCATCTGCGATGCGGCTCGATGTGGAGCCCGCTCTTCCCCACGCCGATGCGTCGCCGATGCATCGCCGATGCATCGGCGGTGCACTGGCGATGCGGCGCGAGCCTTCGACCCCATCTGCTCCGACCCCAGCTAGGAGGCCGCTGGAGAACCCGCAGGCGTACCCATGACGCGCCCGCACACCGCGAGGCGCGGGTCAGCACCCCCCCCTGCGGTCAGCGCGCAGGGTGAGGACGAGCGGCTTTCCAGGGTCGCCCCTGCGGCCCATGCTTGGCCACTTTCGCTGGCCGCGCCCCGGTCGAAACGTATGGGCACGGCCTTCCAAGGGCGCTGCATCTCTGGTCGCGCGTCCTTGTTCTACTGCGCGTTGACTGCATAGGTATGACGGCCTGTAGTCTGCTCACCAGCATACAGTCAAGACGGTTAAATGTTACACGGTTCGGGCTCGTAATTGGCTCGTTGTTCCTAAACTAGGTCATTATATGGTTGTTCCTCTAGCGCGTCTCGTGCACCCAGGCGTTTCTGGGGCCAAGAAGGGGCGTCGCTCCGTAGTTAGCGTTCTTTGTGGTAGTAGCCTGACTGCGGAACAGGAACAGGGGGCGATGGGGGCTGAGTTTGGGGACGAGCTTACGAGAGCGTTGTTTTTTCTCTGGCGGGTAACGCTTGTTACCCGGGCCCAGCCCCCCCCCCCCCCGGTAGCGCTATCGATCGTACGTTTTTGGGGGTGGAGGGCGGACTCCCCCATCTCATCAGGTATGACGTTGTGCTCACAGGCATGGTGTGTTGCTCACGCCGCGGCCGCCTGCCCAAACCCCTACCCCCCCCCGGTAACAGCCGTTACCCAAAGTGATACAACAACAGTCACTCGGGAGGAGGAGCAGCAGGAGGAGGAGGAGGAAGAGACGGAAGGCACGTAGGAGAATGAAGGTGAGATAAGGGGGAGGAATTTCAGGACAAGGACCAGGACCAGGAGGATAAGGAGGGTGACGACACAACGAAAGTGTTGGAGAGGGCAATGAGGGTTAGATTGACGCGTGCAAGCCAGAAACCCATCACCAGAGCATGGCCAACCACCTTAATCCCAATGTCCGAAGATAATCACATGTCAAACCACAAACGTGTTTTCCAGAATGCATCAACACAGAGCCTACTTTTACTCTGTCTCTGCATCAGAGGTGTGTGGCCGGCTCGGCGAAAAATTGTGGATGTAAGCGGATGCGCACGTACAACACAGGCGGCCAGTCGTTCATATGGTGCAGGACGCCGATGTGCCATGCGTGTTGGACAGCGCTGGAGGTGTCTGACCACGTCCTGGATTAGCTTACCGTATGATCAATTAAAGAAGTATCGCGCCTCTATCGTCGTGGAGGGGCACTGCCATGCGTGATTTGATCCACCGCGCCACCGTCGGAAGCTCATCAAGTTGGTTTCGCAGACGATGGCCCGTCGAGAAGGCAGAGATCGCTTACGTCGTTTCGGATTGGCATTGGAGTTCGATGCCCTAACATATTCCAATTGAGTTGATTATGGCAAACATTACTTCATGGGTCTGGTTGCAGACTTTGCCAGAGGATTGTGAAGACACTGAACACCGTACCGCAGTTCCAAGGGTCCTTGCAGAGTCTGCTGACGAATGTTGCGGGGACGCGGACGCTGAATTGGGAACACATTTTGAGCAGACACCCGCTGCAGATATATTGATGAACTCTCGTGAAACGGGAGATGCGTGTAGAGAGCACCACCTCCGACGCATGAGCCTATCAAGATGCGTGAAATGAATGACGACGAGGGAGAGAATGGTGACAGGCACGACGACGACGACGAGGACGACGAGGGTGACGAGAAAGAGGGATTAGGATGAGGACGAAGGACGACGGCGGCGACGACGGCGGCGACGACGACAGACGACGACGAAGACGACGACGACGGCAACGACGACGGCAACGACTGCGGCGACGACGACGTCACGCCGACGGCGAAGTTGACGGCCGCGGGGCGCGCTCCGCACAGGAGATACCCATGGGCGCGCAGATGAACATCTGGGCGTGGCTGCAGGAGTCGGCGGCACCCGCGGCGAGCCTTGCCCCGGCTTCGTCGGGGCGCTCGTGCCCGGGTCAGCGCCAGCATGGTGTGAGCCGACCCTTTCTTCGGCTACACGTAAGAGTGACCCTTGGCCTGAGTGACTTTTGGTGCGGGCCCAATGGGGCCCCCCAATCGCCGAAATTCGCCGAGTGCGAGGCGATGGCGCCGGCTTGCGCGCCTGGGTTTGGCCCCCAGGCGGCCCCCGCTAAGCCGCGCACCAAAGGTCACTCTTGCCCAGGGTCGCTCCTGCGTGTAGCCGATATTTGGCTGGGCCCGCTTTGGATGCCTCGCGGAGCCCCCTCCGCCCCGCTCCCTCCGCTGACCGGGGACCGGGAGCCTTCCCGTGGCCGGCCGCGGTGCGCGAGGTGGCCTGGGCCGACCCTGGCCGGTGCTGGCCCTGTCAGCGCGTCCCCGACGGAAAAAAAAAAAACACGCCTCCAGATTCCCTCGGGTGCTCCTCCTCCTCCTCCTCCTCCTCCTCCTCCTCCTCCGGGTGCAGGAGAGGGTCTGATTTTGTTCTGACCGCTTGGCGTTCCCGCGCGGCCTCCCGAGCGGGGAACGCCCGCAGGCCCGGCCAGGGGCGAGGTGGAGCGGCCCCGGATTGGAGCAGTTGCGAAGCGTTCTGGCTTGCCAGCAGGCTCACCTAAGAATGTTCCCAGAACCTTTTGCGGTTTCCACGACATGGTACTTGAACATTTCTCGCTGATCTAGTTTTCTTTCAATGCGTCGGCTTTAGGTTCTAATGAACATTATATATGTTCTTAGAGCACTATTTGGTTTTAAGATAAGTTCGTGGTAGGCCTATGGGAGTGACGTGACGGTCGGTCCCTGCTCAACAGATGGTGGTCCGATCTTTTGTCCTGCAGTTGAGCAGCGAGATGTTGGCCCGTCCTCCCTTGAGCTTTTGAGCTGCAGGCGGGGCTGCACCTGGGCCACCGGGGCCCTCGGTGGCCCCCCTCCCGGCCAGAGCCGGGTGGAGGGCAGGAAAACCGAGAGGAACTGGGAAGGTTGGGGGCGGCCAAGAGGTGGGTGACGACCAGGGGGTGGTGGATAACCGCAGAGGGTCTTTGATGATGCCCCCCCCCCTTCAGCTCTCGGCGGGGAAGAGTAGAAACTCGTCCCTCCTCCTCCTTCCCCTCCCTCCTCCTTCCTCTCCCTCCTCCTTCCCCTCCGTCCTCCTCCTCCTCCTCCTCCTCCCCCTCCCCCTCCTCCTCCTCCTCCTCCTCCTCCTCCTCCCCTTCCCCCTCCCCCTCCCCCTCCTTGAGATGGGATGATTTAGCTCTTCTCATGACCTCTCATGCATCCGCCGATGAGAATACTTGATTCCCAACTATTCTAGGGGTCCCAATCCGTCAATAAGCCAGCGGACAAATTATTTATTTCCCCATAATTACCCGGGGGCTTATTCAAGACCCTTTGGGGTTATTTGGACGGGGGCCACGAGGTCTCTCCAGATTCCATGGCGCCTCTTATTGTTTCAGTACGTCCCCGGCAGCCCCCCCTGGGCCGCGCACGTGCCGCCGGCCATGGTTTGCGCCCTCCCTCTTGGACGCCCCCCACTCGGACGCCCCCGAAAGAGAGGGGAACGCCCGAGCTTCGGCTCGACCGATCCTCCTCCTCCTCCTGCCTCCTCCTCCTCCTCCTCCTCCTCCTCCTCCTCCTCCTCCTCCTCCTCCTCCTCCTCCTCCTCCCCCTCCCCCCAGATGGTCATCATCCCCCCGCGGTCCTCCCAACGACCCCCCGGGCCCTGCCCCCAGCTGGGCCTGCCCTCCTCCCGCAGCACTGCGCGCGAAGTCCGTCCCGGCAGGAGTGCACCGCCCGCTTTTCCCCGCGTTGTCTCTCCCTCGTTGTCTCTCCCTGGTGCTCCCGCGTTGTCTCTCCCTCCTCCAGAACCGCTTGTTTGAAGACAGGCCAGTTCATCGTCCGGCATCCCTCCTCCCCCTTGTGCCTCCCCCTTTTCTCCGCCCTCCCCCCGGGCCTCCCGCCCCCCTCCCGCCCCCTTCCTCCTCCCCCCCCCACCCCTCTCCCGCTCGCCCTCCTTCCCTTCCCCCTGCCCTTTCTCCCGCTCGAGATCCCCTCTCCCGTCCCTCCCTCCCTCCCTCCCCGCTCGCCCCGTCCATCCCCTCCCTCCCCCTCCCCTCTGCTCGCCCCTTCCCTCCCCCGGCCCCTCGGGGCGGCGGCGCCCCCGCCGACCAGGCGACGTCCGGATCCCAGCCGCGGCAGTCAGGGCAGTCAGGCTCCGCCGACGGCGCGCGGCAGCCGGCGGCGGCGGCGGCGGCGGCGGCGGCGGCGACGACGACGACGACGACTACGACGACCTCGACGTCCTCGACGACCTCGACGACTTCGTCGACCTGTGGGAAGGAGGAGGGGGAGGAAAACGAGGGATGGGAGACGAGTGGGGAGGGAGGAGGTAGGGAGAAGGGGGTAGGGGACGGGGGTGAGAGGGAGAATGCGGAGAAAGATAGGGACGGAAATGGAGGGGGGCAGCGGGGAAAAAGAAAGACATCAGGATAAGGAGGAGGGGATGGAGGATGCGCAGGGAGATTGGGGGAGGACGAGAGAAGCCACGAGGGCAGGGTGCGAGGGGGAATTGTGAGGGCATGGTGAAGAGGAAGGAGGAGAAGGAAGGGGAGGAGGAGGAGGAGGAGGAAAGGGAGGAGGAGGAGAAGGAGGAGGAGGGAGGAGGAGGAGGAGGAGAAGGAAGGGGAGGAGGAGGAGGAGGAGGAGGAGAGGAGGAGGAGGAGGAGGAGGGAGGAGGAGGAAAGGAAGGGGAGGAGGAGAAGGAAGGTGAAGGGGATAAGGAGGAGGAGGAGGAGGAGAAGGAAGGGGAGGAGAAGGAGGAGGCGAGGCATGAGGAAAAGGGAGTTGGCCGGGACCAGTCGCTTCGGCGGCCGAGCTGGGCTTGCCTCACACTTTCGTATCCAGCGGCTACCCCTCCTGAAGGGGAGCGGGTGCGGGGCCCGCGCGGAATTTGCAAATGGTGGAGGAGGAGGAGGAGGAGGAGGAGGAGGAGGAGGGGCAGGGCGGATGGAGAGAAACAGTGGGGTCAGGGGACAAAGGGGGACCAACGGGAGTGTGGTGGCGGAGGGACAGTCAGAAAGATGAGGAAGGAGAGAAGGAGGAGGAGGAGGATGAGGAGGAGGAGGAGGAGGAGCAAGATGCGGAGGGAGAGGGGCAACGAGAAGGAGGAATGGGGAGCGGAAGATACAATTGTGTGTGCGTGTGTGTTGTAATTGCGCGCGCGTGTGTTTGTGTATGAGTGGGTGCGTTTCCCCGTCAAGGAAAGTCGCACCTCTCGGAAGATTGACTTTTACGCCCCAGCAGCGCACTGTGGAATGCGAACCCATCTTGCGAGGGCGTCGCTATCGCGAGACCTGCTCATGAGGGTGCACCAAAGAGCTGCGCAGTCATAGTTCCTGCTGCCCTCTTCCGCTCCTCGCCCTCCCCTGGGCCGACCGATTCTGTCGTTGTCATAGTATATTGTGGCGTCACCATCCCTGGCGCTGGCAATATTCTCAGGGCAACGATGACGAGGACACGAGCACGGAGGGGTGAACGAACGACGAGGCGGCAGGGGGAAATGACACTTAGTCAGTCTACGCCCCTCCGGCGCCTCGTCCTCTCATTCCCTGCCTGTGCGACTCCCCCTCCCTGTCCCCACCCTCCCCGTCCCTCTCTTGGCCCCCCCTCCCTCGCGCGGCGAAGCCGCGGCCGCGAGGTCACAGCGGACGGATGTCAGGCGCCTCTGCCCCTGCGGGGGGAGTTCCGTCCAGCGTTGCCCACTGTCGGCGTCGAAGTCGTCGTGGTTTCGGCGTCCACCGTCCTTGCGTCTGTCGTCCGTCCGTCGTCGTGTTTGTCGTGCGTCGTCGCGTCCGTCTTTTGTCGTCGTCGTCGTCGGGGAAGGGTCCGAGCAGATGCAAACGGTGACGACGCCAGGCCAAATGGGTAGGCCTGGGAGAACTTCCGCAGTCGATACGACCTGGCCTTACAACGACGGAAGGACGACGGGAAGGAGAAGCTTCCTGCCAGAAAAATAAGTTTAACACGCGAAGAGGACGGATTTGTTTGGCCGTTGTCGAACCCGCAAGCGTCGAACATCGTACGGGTCGAGCGCCGTGGACAAAAACATGGCATGTGACAAGGAATGACGGGCAAGGACCCCGTGCGATGGACCTGGGCCATCCGCCTCCCTCTCAGCAGGCACCTTTCGGAACCTCATCTGCCGAAGCCTCCAAGAACGTCGCCCTCCCGCCCCTCTTTCCATGCTCCCCGCCCTCCGACATGTGTCGACGTATTTCGGAATCCACGCCCATGCCTGTCCTGGGAAGCGCTCCTGCCAGCACGTCGAGCAGGATCCAGCCGTGGCGACGAATGCCCCCCCCGCCCCCCCAGGGGGTTTCCGTCCCCTCCCCCCCCCCCCGCGCGAGCGTGGGCGGTGGAGCGGGAGGAGGAGGAGAAGGAGGGGGGTGGAGGAGGAGGAGGATGCTGTTTTCCTCTCCTCCTCCCTCCTTTTCTCCTTCTTTCCTCGGCCGTCCTACGCCCCCCCCCTCCAGAACGGCAACGCTACGGGGGGGAGAGGCTGAGACGGGGAACACCGAGCTGGAATCGTCGACAGATCAGCGATAGACCCCCGATGACGAATGCAGACGCTCATGGGCGAGGTGGGCTATCAGGCCCCCTGTCGGCGAGGCATCGCCAGTTCCATCTCGACCTCCCTCGGCGAGGCATCGCCGATCTCAAATCTCGATGCCCCCCCCCCCCCCTGAGCCCACCCCTCCTCCCCCATCGCCCCTCTCTCCGAGCCCGGCGCGCCCCGCGGGCGTGCGCGCACGCAGGCGTGCGCTCCAGGCTGCGGCGCGGGACCACCGGCTCGCAGTGTGGGAAGAAGCTCGAGGGCGCCGCGCCCC